AATGTTATGAATATACAAAAGCATATCAAAAATAAATATTGTGCAATAAGGTTATTTTGAAAACTAAATAATTTCATCGCGAGAACTTTTTTAACATACAAAAAAAGTTGAACATAATAATTTCAAAATAATATGCATATATATAGTTTTTTATTATTATTATTATTTTTATACTCTCTCATTATTAATAATATAAATGGTTAACCCCATAAAATATTTATAGCGTTAGATCAAATTGAAATTTTGCTGGGGTTTATATGAAATTCCCGACACCTAATTCTAACCAATGCTAACTCTAAATTGGGCCAATTTTGAGTCCTACATAAAGGAGTATAAGAATGTATGTCATGCGTACACTAATCCAACTATTCATTAATACATAGCGATAGGGTTTGGAACTTTTCTGTAGACAAATACCTAACCCTAACCCTAATATGAAGTCCAATTTTAAGAATATACAATATACATATATGTTGTTACACACTTTTTTTTTATTTATTTTTTTTACTGTATAATGTACACGCCCTGTAAAAATCACTTATCGCACAAAACAATCATAGCGATAACCTTAAATTGATAATCCAACAAAGAACGTATTTAAATGGAAATATGAATTGTATTTATGCAATATAAAAGTTGATTGGTCGTGTTTTTAATAGTTTTTGAGGTAAGTATAGAGTATTTCAATATAGGTAAAGAAATAAATGCTAATTGTACAACATGTACGTTGACTGATGCCAAAATTTGGACTTATTTTATTATTAAAGTTAGGGTTAGGATTTTAAATTTAACGTTACACACTGGTCGTTTGTTCAGTGGGCACAAATTGTATCCTGTTTTTTTTTTCCGACGATCTTTCTATTAAACGGTATTTAGAATCTCTAGCCGGAGATAAGTAACCGATTATCAAAAAATTATGCCGGAATTTTTTTTAATAAACCGGAATCTCTGGTATTTTACAGTAGATTTTGTACACATAAATTTATAAATATTTTAAGATTTATAAAAATTCATTTCTTTAAAATTAGGGTTAGGGTATTTTTAGGTGTTGAATATTTTTACTTAGTACACACACGATTCCGTTTTTGCGATAAAAATATACTCCGGTATACTGTATACTGTATAGTTAGATTGCATGCATACAGTTTGAAAAAGAAATAAAGTTCAATCTTGCATGTCTGAAAATTAAAAGAGTGAGACCCTATTATAAAGGGCCTTTAACGTATCCATTTAGGGCACTAGTGTGTTATGAATGATAAATCGCGCAAAATGGATATATATATGCATCTATTAAACTTTCAATGCTTACCTTTTTGTGAAAAAAGTAATTCGCGATGAAATCATATAATATTCTTTATAACCTTATAGCACAATATGTATTTTTGATATCCTTATACTTACTCATAACATCAACTAGTTCACACTTTAATTATACAGAAAGTACATTAAATCCTCAATTCCTTAATCGCGCTCCTGTTATACAGAATATTCAAACTTACGATGATGGAGTAACTCTCGTCCATATTGTAATTCGTTCAACAACACCAACAGCAGAATGTACAAGAATTAATAGACTAGCGCTAAGCTTAGAACAGATATTACGCATAAGAGTTATTCAATTAAATGGAACCGTTAGCGAGATTAATCTCGATTTACATTTAGATCCTTTGAATTATTGTCTATTCAATATTCCTTCTACCGGACAAGCATACGTCCCTATTATAATATATGCATTGCAAAGTCCGTTTATTCTAGTAAATTATATAAAAACTACTAATTCTTCTGATCCTAGAACATATGAAGAGTGGGGAATGGTTATTGATTGGAATGGCAATATTAAAAGGTGTGAAAATAACTTATACAGTAAATTTTTATTAAGATTATTAATATCAATTTATTTTCATATTTATTATTCTACAAATCACTAGTACAATAGATTTTGGCCCATCTTATGTAGTTCGCGGTGTTTGGAATCCAATAAGTTCAATTA